ATATCAGTTGATTGTGGTCGAGTGGAAGCAGGTTTAACTGAACGCATTGCGTTTGTAAGCCTGTTCGTGTAGGAGGTCAGATCCATGTACATTGAAGAGGATGAATTATCCACGAATTCTCCTGGAAGTCGAAGTGTCGTTCCATAATCGAGTTGAGCCGCAGTGTATCCAATATCAGCTTTCACTGCATTGTGAATACCTAGTAAGACGAGTGGAAGAGCGTCGGTCCACTGTGAAACGTTTGCAGCTGATAGTGAAGCTTTTAGTTGTCGGTGAAAACGTTCTACCAACCCGTTTGCTTGTGGATGGTAGGCGGTCGTTCGGAAGCGAGTGATTCCTAAAAGTGTGATCAGACGACGGAAAAGATCGGATTCAAACTGACGTCCGCAGTCTGTAGTGATGGTTGAAGGGCAACCGAAGTTTGCTACCCATCGTTCGACGAAGGTGCGGGCCACTGTTTCAGCAGTGATGTCCTTGATAGGTACTGCTTCTGGCCATCGAGTGAAACGGTCTACGCAGGTTAAGAGATAAGAGTATCCATTTGAATATGGTAACGGTCCTACCAAATCCAGATGAACATGGTCGAAACGAGCATCGGGAGTTTTAAACGAGCCTAAGGGACATTTATTGTGTCTGATGACCTTAGATTTTTGGCAGCTTAAACAGGAGTGTGCCCACTCCCTCACGTCTTTATTCATTCCAGGCCAGCAAAACCGTTTTGCTATAAGCTTGATGGTTGCACGAACACCTGGATGAGAAAGTTTGTGCAATGTGTTGAAGACGTTGAGTCGATAATGTTTCGGCACGATTGGGCGATCCCTACCTGTAGATGTGTCACAAAGTAAGGTTTCCTTACCTGCTCCCATCTGTTTGATGCGTAGCTTGAGGTTTTCGGACAATAACTCGTGCTGAAGATCATTGTCTTCTTTTTGAAGCTGAGCGAGCGTAAGGAGGTCGATTTCTCGGAAACTGTTCAAGGAAGCCGTGCGAGTACATTATTTGCTCCAGAAATGTGTTGAATATCTGAAGTAAACTGCGAAATGTAGTCTAGTTGTCGAAACTCACTTGGTGAGTATTTGTCCGAAGAAGAGTTTAAAGAGAAGGTAAGCGGTTAATGGTCGGTTAAAAGGATGAATTCACGGTCATCGATATAGTGTTGAAAATGTCGTACACCACAATATATAGTTAGGAGTTCCCTAGCGAATGTGCCTTACCTCGATTCAGTGTCTAGCAACCGTCTAGAGAAAAATGCCAAAGGTTGCCAGGAGTTGTTAACCCATTGTTGTAAGACTCCTCCGATTGCTGAGTCGGATGCGCCTACTGCGATACTAATGGGTGCTTCGGTGTCCTGATGAGCAAGTATTGTTGCTTTAGCGATAAGTTCTTTAACTGTGGAGAATGCTTTTCGTGCGGTGTCGTCCAGCTTGATAGATTTCGCACTTCCACGAGGTTGGCCGGTTAGCGGTTTCATGAGTAAAGCCCATTTAGGTATGAATCGTCTATAAAAACTTACAAGGCCCTTAAACGTTTGTAGTTGCTTGGTCGTGGTGGGTTCTGGGTAATTCAGAATTGCCACTACTTTGGTCCTAAGGGGTCGAATGCCTTGAGCACTTATAGTGTGTCCTAAGAAGTCTAATGAGCCAGTTCTAATTCGGCATTTCTGAATGTTTCCAGTAATGCCATGTTTTTGTAGTCGGTCGAAAACGAGGTCTAGATGCTGGAGATGCGAATTTCTGTTCGGACGTGCTATTAGACAGTCGTCAACATACGCATGTGCGAAGTTGAGACCTCGGAAAACCTTTGAAATGTTTGGGCTATTTGACGGTCGTATGATTCCTAAGTCTATCATGTGATCGAATTCATTTTTCGCCAACCTTAGCTTTTCAGGGGCTAGTCGTCGTGCTTTAGAGAATACAGGTGATCCTGTAGTCGTGATGTGATGTGTAACGTTGGTGGTTACACACGGTAGTTTCGGTTGCGTTTGCTGAATCCCAGGATACTTATCGAGAAGTGGTTGATAGAGTGGGTCTATCCTATGCTTAATTGTGGCTGGGGATAATCCGCAACCAGAAAAAGAAGTTACGCAAACGGATAAATTAATGTTTCCGTCTACTAGCCTCCGTTCGCACGTATCGATGATTAGATTATGGTGTTGTAGAAGGTCCATACCAATGATTGGCATAGAAACACCTACAACAACGAAGATTCAGTGAATGGGTTTGCGTAAACCCACGTTGAGGTAAACGTACTTTTTGCCATACGTAGCGATAGGCTTTCCGTTTGCTGTCTGTATGTTTAAAACCGATTCCTGAAGCCGGTCGTTGGGATTCGCTGGAATAACGCTAACTTCTGCACTAGTGTCGACGATGTAGCGAACTCTCGTTGTCACATCTGTGACGTATAACAGACGGCTATGTTCGCCGGCTATGGTTGCCGTTAATGCGTACCGGCTTGGAAGTTTCCCGAGTTGTTTTTCGAGTTGGGAAAATTGCAGGGTTTTCAACAATTTCTGGATGACTTTCCATACTGGTTGTGATAACAGCACCAGTCGGGGTTATCTGTCTCTCATGGTCTAGAGACAGATCGCTTACGTGAAGTGCTTCTACGTGGGGTGTGTGATCGCTTACGGTCGTTACGAAAATCACGATAACGTGTAAGTGTGTGACATAACTCGGTTACGTCATTCGGAGTCCTTTGAGGCTTTTCTTTAACTAAGAAAACCTCGGTAGTAGAAGATTTAGTAATTTCTAAGATACGGTCAGCAGATGCTGCCAGCTCGTCCAAGGCGTTGTTCTGAAACGATACCAGAACCGCTTGCACCTGTTGGGGAAGTTTGGACAAGAAAAGTTGTTTGAATAAGCTTTCGTCGAAAGTTCTTAGGCCTATCACCTCTTTCATCCTTTGAAACATGTCCCTCGCAGAACCGTGCTGCAGGTCTATGTTATTAAAGAGTTGATCTAAACTTTGTCGATCGGTTAAGTCTCCTCGTTTAAGAATAGAACGCTCTAACGTTTCGTACTGTTCAGAAACATCACTAGTAAACATACTAGGTATTATGTACCTGTTGAATTCCTGTGGTAGTGCCTTGACTACTGCGAGGAATTGTGCACGTGTGTCGTTTACGCCGTGCTCGTGAAAGTCGGCTTCTGCGTAGCAGAACCAGGCTTCGATATTGTCGGGCCAGAAGGGCATGAGTTGGAACGAGGGTGGGGACATGGTCTTAATCTTAAGTACCTTAGGAGTCTGTTCGGTCATAGAGGAATATTAAGTACGAGAATACGAGGGAAAAATATATAGATATCTTGAGACACGGGGAAAAATATATCACGATGTATAAAAATCAGAAAATAAGGCAATAATATATAAAAATCCTAAAAGGCAACAGACTCACAGTTGCAATTAAGTGTGCCAGATCACGTCGGTCTCATATATATGAAGTATTATTACTGTGTTCCGTTAGAGTCACATCTTTTTCTCGATACAGATCGTAATAAAGTCATAAATCAACATGAGATTATGAATTTATTTTGTCCTGACATTTTTTAATATTTGAATTCATGTGTCGATTAAGGCTAAAGCACCATGAGAATCCTGGAAGCACTGGATGGCCGTTTTCTCCTAGTATGGGACTCCCCAGCGGTGGGCATCCACGACCCCGTCGTTGGGATTCGAACCCAGGGCTTTCAGTCTCGCGCGCGAACACTAAACCTCTAGATCACTGAGTCGACATCCAACAGTGTTCACGTCTAACTTCAACTAATCCACGAAATTGAGCGACACATCCACAATGTCTTTAGTGAGTTACTATCTCACAATGGGCCTGGTTGGCCTTCACTGGTCAGTACTTCTCACTAGAACTCCAGAATATACCCCTCGAAGACAGTCACTAGTGAGCATATGTTTTATTGTTTGGAAATTCACTATGTCGATTGTTTATGTTATGACCCCATTTATCCACCTCCCAATATAGTCGAAATTAAGTGCTTATCTCGCTGTCCAGAAGTTGAGCATTGATGCACGATACTGAAGCCCCTACGTTTGACATCTGGCGAGATAATGGATGTTCACTGCTCAGGACTCCCTACTAAGACCAGACAGCTATTCACTACTTCTTCGTTTTAATTATTCTCTGACTACGGCCAGTCCGCTATCCGTACTAAGAAAATTTTACTGTCTCGAAAACCCGTCATGCTAACTGTTATAACCTGTGACTTGTGTCCTATTAATGTATAACGTAATGATACCGCCAATTAGAGAACAGTGAATTATCGATTAGACAAATGACGCATAAAACAAGTACGAACAGTCTAGAGTCCTTATCGGTCGTGCTTCTCAGCCAGTTAAGTCCAGAACACCAATCTCAGCCTCTAAAATATGAATCATTTATTTCAAACATACTGGGTTTATATACCAACCAAACAGACCACATCGTACCATAAAATACGAAACAACACTTGCACAAGATCTAGCCCAAAGTGGCTGTGAATATAGGAGGTAGTAGTTGATAGACTGGATATAACTCAAGAATGGCAAATCGTATAATAACAGTTCATAGGTGAGAACGAAGCTGATAATAAGAGGGACATGAATATGAATAGTTTAGTTGCTTAACAATTGTACGATAAAAATATACGTTTAGTATTGGTCCATAAATGGATCCCAGAAGTTACCATTCATTGTTCTCATAACACTAACAATATATTCTTGTTTTACGAGAATGTGCGGTTGTTGTTAAATAGAGCGGACATGTAGATCAGTTAAATTCATTCAAAGATTTTCTCATCCAACATTTTTATAATTCTGAGGTTCTTATGCTGATATGAAGTTTTGTGACCGATAAATAGGTATTTAACGTGAATAGTGAATAGAATCATAAAATAAAACCGAAGATGAGAACTGTGTATTTTAAAGATTTATTTAAGAAGATGCAAAAAAATTACTCAGACGTTCTAGCGTCCCAAAACATCTTTAAGGCGGCGAATATGTAATTCACATTACTTTCACCATATATCGCATTTTGTATCAGGATTCATTGGTGAACCAACTGGATATCCATATGCATGTGCGAATTCTTTGCTATTGACCAATGCCCCGAATACTCTTAGAGTGTAGAAAAAACAAAATTATTTCGTTAGTTTGTAGAGTCGTAAACTAAATACAGAAGTACTATAAAGTTTGCAAACTGAAATTACTGTTTTCTGAAAAAGATTCTGAAAAGTTAGTAAGATTCAAGGTGAATTAGGGGAGTTGTACACCATCATGACAACCAGAGCAACCATTTATTTAGGTACATAGAATGTTCGTACAATGTGGGACACCGGGAGAGCCTTCCAAGTTGCTGCAGAAATGAGCAGATACAATCTAAATGTGCTTGGGATCAGTGAAACACATTGGACGCAAGTTGGGCAACAACAACTAACTTCAGAAGAACTTCTGTTATAATCCGGCCATGAAGAAGAAAATGCTCCACATACACAATGAGTTGCATTGATGCTGTCCATAGAAGCACAAAATGCACTTATAGGATGGAAATCTCATGGACCAAAGACCACCAAAGCCTCCTTCAAAACAAAGAAAGAGGGCATTTCAATGAACGTCATCCAACGCTATGCGCCTACCAACGACTACGATGAAGACGCTAAAGATCAATTCTACGATAGGCTGCAGTCAATTATCGAGAAGTGTTCAACAAAGGAACTGACCATTTTAATGGGAGACTTCAATGACAAGGTTGGAACGGACAACACTGGATATGAAGACATCATGAGACGACACGGACTGGGAGAAAGGAACGAAAATGGTGAGAGATTTGCAAACCTATGTGCCTTCAATAAACTGGTCATGGGCGGCACCATATTCCCACATAAACGCATATACAAAATCACATGGACTTCACTGGATCACACAACACAAAACCAAATCGATTATATCTGCATCAACAAAAGGTTCAGGAGGACGATGGAAGACGTGAGAAACAAGAGAGGATCTGATATAGCATCAGGTCATCACTTGCTGGTCGCCAAGATGAAACTGAAACCCGAGAAGCACTGGACAACGGGGCGGAAAATATCACAAATAATCTATAGGCTTTTCTTCAGGATACTGACAAACTCAACAAATTTCAAGATAGTCCTCAGCAACAAGTTCCAGGCCTTTCATGATCTACTCAATGGAGAAGGAGCTACTTTGGAGAGCAACTGGAAGGGGATCAAAGAGGCAATCACTTCAACATGTCATGAGGTCCTGGGTCACAAGAAGAACCATCACAAGGAATGGATCACTGTTGATACACTGGATAAGATTCAAGAAAGAAGGAACAAGAAGGCAACACTCAATACCAGTCGAACAAGAGCAGAAAAAGCCAAGGCACAAGCTGAATACACAGAAGTAAATAAACAAATGAAGAGGAGCATCAGAACCGACAAACGTAATTATGTGGAAGATTTAGCAACGACGGCGGAAAAGGCTGCAAGAGAAGAAAACATGAGACAATTGTATGACACGACAAAAAAGCTCTCTGGAAATCGCCGCAAACCAGAACGACCAGTGAAAAGCAAGGAAGGTGAGGTAATCACCAACATTGAAGAACAACGAAACAGGTGGGTAGAACATTACAAAGAACTCTTGAATCGACCAGCCCTACTGAACTCACCCAATATCGAAGCAGCACCCACGGACCTCCCAATCAATGTTGGCCCACCAACAATTGAAGAGATCGACATGGACGTCAGACAAATCGAGAGTGGCAAAGCAGCAGAACCAGACAACATTCCAGCACAGGCATTGAAAGCAAACGTAGCAGTAACTGCAAGGATACTCCACATTCTCTTCAATAAGATTTGGGATGAGGAACAAGTACCAACAAACTGGAAAGAAGGACTTCTGGTCAAAATATCAAAGAAAGGAGATCTCAACAACTGTGATAACTACACAAGCATCACTCTTCTTTCAATACCGGGAAAAGTCTTCAACAAGGTATTGTTAAACAGGATGAAGGACTGCGTAGACGCCCAACTTCGTGACCAACAGGCAGGATTCCTTAAGGATAGATCGTTTACAGACCAAATCGCAACTCTACGGATCATTGTGGAACGATCAATTGAATGGAATTCATCACTCTACATCAACTTCATTGACTACGAATAAGCATTTGATAGCGTGGACAGAACAACACTATGGAAACTTCTTCGACACTACAGCGTGCCTCAGAAGATAGTCAATATCCTACAGAACACATATGATGGATTACACTGCAAAATTGTGCATGGAGGACAGTTGACAAAGTCGTTCTAAGTGAAGACCGGTGTCAGGCAAGGTTGCTTACTCTCACCCTTTCTCTTTCTCCTGATGGTCGACTGGATCATGAATACGTCAACATCTGAAGGAAAGCGCGGGATACAATGGACATCTAAGATGCAGTTGGATGATCTAGACTTCGCAGACGATCTGGCCCTTCTATTCCAAACGCAACAACAGATGCAGGAGGAGACGAACAGTGTGGCAGCAGCCTCAGCAGCAATAGGTCTCAATATACACAAAGGGAAAAGCAGGATTCTCCGATACAACACAGCATGCACCAATGCAGTCACAATTGACGGAGAATATTTGGAAGATGTAAAAACCTTTACATATCTGGGCAGCATCATTGATGAACAGGGTGGATCTGATGCAGATGTGAAGGCGCGGATCGGCAAGGCAAGAGCAGCATATTTACAACTGAGGAACATCTGGAACTCAAAGCAACTGTCAACCAACACCAAGGTCAGGATTTTCAATACAAATGTCAAGACAGTTCTACTGTATGGGGCAGAAACCTGGAGAACTACAAAAGCCATCATCCAGAAAATACAGGTGTTTATTAACAATTGTCTACGCAAAATACCTCAGATCCATTGGTCGGACACTATTAGCAACAACGTACTGTGGGAGAGAACAAACCAGATCCCAGCGGAGGAAGAAATCAGGAAGAAGCGCTGGAAGTGGATAGGACACACACTGAGGAAAGCACCCAACTGCGTCACAAGACAAGCCCTCACATGGAATCCTCAAGGCCGATGGAGGAGAAGAGGAAGACCAAAGAACACACTACGCCGGGAAATGGAAATAGACATGAGAAAAATGAACAAGAATAGAATGGAACTAGAAAAGAAGGCCCAGGACAGAGCGGGTTGGAGAATGCTGGTCTGCGGCCTACGCCCCATTAGGATTAACAGGCGTAAGTAAGTAAGTAAGTAACACCATCGGAATTCATTACTACATGAGGTTTATAGCCATTTGTATTGTGGGCCTAGTAACATGAGTACAGCTTTCAAAGAAAATGAGGTTGATTTCATCTAGAAAATCAAATGCTAAATATCTGTGAACCTTCGTTATATACTTCATTATTCGAAATAAATAGTTTTCTTTCAAAAATGGCAACGTTCGGTACTAGTTTCTTAGAATTCACTGAACGTATTGTGGTATGTATGTCATCAAAGTATAATTGCTACACACATTTAATTAGTTATTTTTACGATAATATGAATGAAACATTTACTCATTTCATATGCAATTTCGATTTCTGTCAAAGCTCACCTGTATCTTTCCATTACATGTGGAACAACTATTGAATGTATTAAAAGAGAAGTTCCACTATGATGTCCACAAAGAGACTTGAAAAGTAATTAAAAAGAGAGATTTAATAAATTGCTAATTATAATTTCAACAAGAACCCAAAATCATACAGTTAACTTTAAGCAAACACCATTCCTATCATATTTTTGGCATTCATATCTCATAGTTATATAATGTACCCTTGCGGACCAGGGTAATTTTACATTGTTTTTCAGGAGAACCAGACACCGTATATGCTTCAACGCTACAATCTGAATAGTACAGCCCAATCCTGTGGCGCAACCACACAGGTTTCAAGCACCCTTGTGAACCATTCACACCATTCATATACACATTCACATCACCTGTGTAGTTATTCCGATCAATGATCGCGTGAACCAATTATGCACAGCACGAACAGGCCAAAGTCGACCTATTCCACATACACCACAGTCAAACTCATTAATGTTAGCAATGGCGACATGTCTTACAATGTCACACTGAAAGCCAACCACTAGTATGAATGAAATCGGTTAACCAGCAAACCATTTTTGTGCATGAACAGTCAGCAAAACTTGCCAAAACAATGCCGAACCATCCACGATACCAATGGCGAACTTCCAGCCTCATATTAGACCTTCAGCCCTACATAGCCATATTGCTTATGGGTTTGGACACGTATAAAAATGATATAAATATTTAAGATGTTTGATCAAATTCAAGAAGTTTTCAAATGAATATATTTGAGTTAGTTGGTAATTGTCGCTTTACCAATTTATTTATTGGTCTACATTTTCAACTTGATTGATTTGTTAGTTTCTATTCTTTAATTGATTTCACTAGACTGGATGGAAATTTTGCCAAGTTGGAATTTTCTTCTACTAAATTTCAAAATGAATTTCATGATAATTCATATGCAAGTGAATGATTCACAAATACGTTTGATTTTGACGCTTTATTGAAAATAGAGTGAATTGATAAGTCTCCTAGGCTTAATAATGTTGTTATGGGGTTTATATCCCATCTGATAGATTGTAAATAGAATAAATCGGAAGAGAGTTTGGTATTTTGAGCCAATTTGGAAAAATATTTATAACCGTTGAAGAAGCTATCAGTAGCTAAGTAGATAACGTGATGGCATTTAAGGCGATTGGTCTCAGAGTGAACATCAACTATGGACACAGGTGCATCCAGCTGAAGAGTCCTAAATAGGTTGAATCGCACTTCCTGGAATCCACTGCTAGCCGTCGTACACCTTCATTTACACTAAAGAAACTATTTTTTTATTGTTTACTGTGTATGTCTACTAAAATAATAATGCCAGCTTTGAAATAAGTTGGTGAATTAAATCTCCAGGTAAAAATTTAGTAACAGAATAATTATAAATGCACGAAATATACGATGAGCACTGGTTCCTTATAAGTAACTATAGTAGTAGAATTATCGTATGAACTAGGAATTCCAAGATTAACGCAATTGAATTAAGAAGACACGGGTACAACGAATGTACTGTATTTAGAATTCGAAATCGAGCATTCAACAAGTACAAAAGAATCATTAGTTAATTCAAACACCACATCCGCCACAGGTTAAATAGAAGTATAAGCGTTTGTAATCGGTTGTACGTCTTCTTGTTAAGTTCATCCTGAGTCTGTCCGACATTGTATAAGATAAAAACTTTGTAGTATCTAGAAAGTGCTCATTAGTATTGGAGTTAACAAACGAAATCGAAACAGACTCACCTGGAATTGCATACAACCAGCATGTCGGTTTTGTAATGAAATCATTAATATCTAGAATTCGAACCATAGATTTTTCAACACTATCCCCACCCACGAAATAATGTTGGATCTTTATATCCCCAAGTTATGAATAATGTGGCTTCATTTAAAACATATTTCTCACATTGTTTAGAGTAAACATTAGAACTGTTTTTGTGATAAGAGTAAACAGCAGTTGATATGAAATCATCCGAAATATAATAAAACTCGAGGTCACTTAGTACTCGTGCTTCGCATTGGGCAGGTTTTTCACAAGGATCAAATACATTATAAGGATAGGTAATATATGATATGACATCAGGATTTGATTCTTCTGAAATATTCTCATGAAATTCATCAGGACTGTCATTGCAGAGCGTAGGATCGTTAGAAAAATCAGCATCTATCCAAACCACATCAGGTTTTCGATCATGATCAGGTTCATTTAACATATTTTCCTCAGAGTTGCAAGTAATTTCATTAGAAATAAGTGAATCATTAGGAAAAGTCATACTTGATACAATAGCATGAGAATTCTGATAAATCGGTTGATTAGGAACTGTTGTCTCACAAGAATTCTGGATTTCATTTAACTCTGAACTGCCATATGACTCTGCACTGTCTTTTGAAATCGTTGATAAAGATAAATGATCATCATGAATACTCGACTCAGTAGAATCAGAATTACAAGACTTAATATTAGTTGCAGTAAGATGAACATTAGCATTACAAACTGACTGAACTTGTCCAATATCACGACATTTGAAGCATTTAGAATTATGAAATTTACATGAATTAGAAGAGTGGAACTTGCAACAGGACAAACACTGACCAAACTTGTCCCCATCCTCGTGAACTGCATCCAAATTCAATGAATTGTCTGCATAACCTTGAGTATGCACTAGGTTGAGATGACGTAGTAATGTAGTGGACTTTTTTATATCCTCATGAATCATTTTACGAAATCTTCCTCCTTTACGATATTCGAAATTTGTATACTGAGCATAGTCTAGCAGTAGATCCTTGAGAGCTGTATAAGAAAGCGAAATGGGTTTTTCCGGCATAGCCAGAGTTCTTAATAAGCTGTATGCTTCTTTTCCAATGAATGTGAGGAAGTGTGTCACAATATTAACATCCTCATCATCTTCCTTGGTCATAGCCCAGATTTCGGACCTTTCAAAGTAATTTTCAAAAGCTTCCGAAGTTGAATGAATATCTAACTTTTCCATTGCAGGCTCCATCGCGACGCCAATATAGTAGTAGAATTATCGTATGAACTAGGAATTCCAAGATTAACGCAATTGAATTAAGAAGACACAGGTACAACGAATGTACTGTATTTAGAATTCGAAATCGAGCATTCAACAAGTACAAAAGAATCATTAGTTAATTCAAACACCACAGTAACTTAACTTTCTATGGAATTTTGTTATTACTTATGTATATTACTAATATGTACTAAATTCCAAATACAACAAATAGTATAATATAAAAGTAAATATCTCTAGACATTTTGATAAAACGTAGTGATTTATAACATGAAAAAAAAACTGTGACTTGATTGTGCAAATGAGAGAAAGAACAACTGATCAGATATAAGAGAGAGATTATAATTTTGATTAACACTATTCGAATACTTCTCATATAAACGCTTGTACATCTAAGAAATGTAAATAAATTTATATAATATAACGATTATTATAAATGAGTTAATGGCTTTCTAAAATATAGTTGCGTTATTGTTATAATGGAATATTTTATAAATGTATACATGGTTTAAATGGAGAATACTTATCTCAAAGATTATTGATAGCTTAGTTTTTTTTACTATCAACAATGAAAACACATACACAGATTGTTTCACATTGTTTGTCGATGTTGAGTGAGAATTTAGGGAAAAGTTTTGACATATATTTATATAATGGACAGGTTCATGGTCTGAGTTGTCTACTATTCTACTCAATGAATAGATATTGAATATTTACTCTAAATAGTAACTAATTCACATACTCCATGATATAATCCAATCCATTTTTCTGAATGATGAATTATTTTGAAACATAGATAAAACTTCTTTTTTGTTTTATCATACGATTGATCTTCACACTTCAAAATAACAGTGAACTTTACAAATTTGATAGACAATACAATATCATTAGCCGTATAGAAGATTGTAAAATCAGTTTTTGTCTATTGTTTTTTGTATTCAGAATAACAACCACTGACTGTAGAAAAGGAACGTCTGATTTCAAATAGCAGACGACCTAACTCAAAATCCAGTCATTCGAAACACGTATTGTTAATGGAGTTTTTGCACTGATATAGTTGAGCCATATCCTTTCAAAATCTGTTTGTTCAATCTCTGTAACTTTAGTGTGATTAAGAGGTGACCAATTTTTTAAAGCGCTGAAACAAATATAAAAGTGCAATCAATATATCGACAATTTGATGTTGTGAATTTTTATCTGGCTCGATGTTTGGTGTTATTATTCACTTAACTAGTTGTACAATATTTATTTGGAGTTGGTCGCCAATTATTGTTCTTCAATAAATAGTTATGCCATGTCTAACTCAGTTGTTCGTTCTGTCTCAGCAACCGGTTTTAGGCATCCTAAAGTCTTCTGAAATCAGAAGAATCGCTTAACCGAACTCATCGTTACAACATAGCTAATGTGCTTAATAGTGTTTTCTCACAATTGCTTGATCACTGGATAGTGATTAATGTCAAGTATGTAATTTTTATCTTACTGCTGATCGAATTCTATCGATCAAGTTGCTATGTGGCTACTAGTCTAAGTGACTCAATGTCGGATACCCTATGTTATGATGTAAAGTGTTATGGTTAGAATACAGGAAACCCTGTTTAACCGTTCTATTTTCTACAAGTCGACGAAATGTTCCTGTAATCTTGAGGCTGGTGGTACTTCTGGCAGATCTGAACAATCATCACCCGGCTTCACAAAAAGCCAAAAGGGCTATTGAATTACATTATGAATCAATATATCTACCTCATAAAGTTTATGATTTATTCAGAGGAATAATTGAGGATACTTTTTATCCTCGATTTAATGTTAATCCGTTTATGATATTTTACTGACTAAACAGAATTTTATGCATTAATCTTTCAACTGACAAACTATGTACTGTAGTTTTGTGTTTCTATTTAAGTAATCCAAATGTTTGGCATTTTACTTCAAAGGTTCCATGTTAATATACATTTCCTATAAGTTGCATAAATGTACTTACATAGTAAGAAGCTTTTAAACCTCCAATATCGGCTAAAATTTCATCTCGTGTATCGGTTTGAAGGGCCTAGATCAATTAAGTAATTCAAAAACGTGTTATGTGATGTTGTGATCATTGAATTTAAGCATTTTGTATGATTCTGATTTTACATTGAATTGCTCCATGTAACTTCATGTCATAAAATTTATAAGTTAGTCTGCATTGTCTATAGTAGTCGATCATCTCGGACATAATTAAGACATCAGCGAAATTATAAATCACTTTGTAAGGAACTTGTAATCAGTTATTACATACGTTATCCCTTTCATCATAAAATGTATTGAAATTTTAAGATTATTAAATCTACCTAATGATTTGGTATTAGATGAATGTTCCAATGTAAATTCATAAGGGTTATATGAAATTCAGGGTTAGAGTAGATGATATTGGACTGTTTCCAAAAACCATTATGGGGTAAAATGGTAGCTAAGTAAAATAACTAAAAGAAAACAAGGCTTTCAATGTACATAGTAAACATCTAATTGGACAGTGTACATGCATTATGAATAATGTTAACTACACACATTACATTAATAGTGAGTTCCGTAACATTTGATTTTCACGATAAAAGGTGAATTATGTAACATAAATATATTTTTGGTTCATATATTCAAAGCGATTAGTCCCTTTGATAAATTTCGTTAGTGTATTAAGAAGACGAAGATTATCAGAACGATGTGACATATTACTGCAATACATTACGAACAATCTGGTCACACATAATATGCTTGTTAAGAACATTGATCAGAGTCAACTAGGCTGGAAATGGGTTGGCGTGAGTTTAACAAAATAAGTAAACCGGTGTTTTGTGTAATGCTGACTAAATGTATATTCCTTGACAATCTCAAAATGTTTTAAGTTAAATACAATTCACATGAAGGTTGTTGTGTTTTTCTTTTTATACTAAATTATCGAACTTCTAAGTGCTCAATGACTGCACAAAAATATAGGTATACTTTCGTATGTTAATACCTATAATTTAATAAACTTACTTTGTAATCGGTAAATTCATAAAGTCTATATTGATCACTAATACATGAAGCTTTAGTTTCTATCACAGAAGATAACATAAAACCAGTCAAACCAGTTAGACTAGTACCAGCTGAATCAACCAGTACACCTTGAAATTCAACAAAATTAACGGATTATTATTGATTAAAATGATAATTATTTTTAACATATCATTTTTGACATAATTAATAATTTCCATATTCAGTAAACAGTTGACAAATAAATAGTAGAAGGAAGGGTAGACAGAAATCAGTGCATATTTGTTTGATAATCACCAGTTTTTCATCGATCGGAATGAAAGACTAAAACCATGAGTTTGTCAGAAACTAATACAACAGTCACTATAAAAGATGGATGGTGTCTAGCAGTGAAATTCAGAATACTCGTTTCGTTCTATTTGGGACCCGTCAGTTAGATGAACCTACATCCTAGCTCTACTTATAATGCTTTTGACCTAAGACAATATCAACCCGATCCTCATAAGATGCACATATACCAATAAGAAACCAATACATTGCAGTCCTAAACATCAATGAGAAGATTCAAACAATCAGTATTAAAATGAAATTACTATCAGGACAACAGCAGTCTAATGTTGTATTCGAAAACGAGTCTGATATTCAGTGTATGGTAACAGGGTAATACTCAGTATCAATTAGTCGGTGATTTATAGAATAAAATGATTTTGTGAATTTCGAAAGATTAAAAGTATGGAAACTAATGAAAACCAAATTATGAACCACATAATTCATCGATTTTTAATGAAAGTGCCACTATCTCAATGTACCTTCAATTGATAGTAACTGTACTCTCGTGAGACGTGGATCGATGACACAAACGAGCTTTTCAATCAGTTATTACAAGTAATCGATATGAGTGTGAACTAAGCTGACATGGATGTGGTCAAGTATTTGATAGTCAAGCTGAAAAGATTTAATATTTCGTTCGAAGCACAACTAGACTAGACTAGTTGAAGCCAATCTACAAATCGCTGCATGGTATCACAAGCAAGGTGATTTATACATTACTGAACTAAACTGGAACATCCACCTGTTATTATATTTGAATATGTAAATATTGTGACGATTGGCTAATGGATTCTTTCTATTCATATTATAGTGAATTGTCGTGAGATCGCCCTCCTTTCAGTGATGTGCTGATTTCGAGAATGTATCGATACAGGACACAGGTGGTATTTTGTGATTCCGTCATCGTAAAACGCTTAATACTGACATGTGGAGATTGTACACGATGACAAAATATTATTCAGATATTACGAGATGTTTGTCCATAAGGTTAGTTTTAACAAATGAACAACAAACTGAGATCGTCAAACTCAGGATGTTGACATTTTGTTGATATGCAAAATAAATGATTCTGATGAATACACGTTAATAATTAGTCAAATAGTAAATTTCTCTATGAATTCATGAGACAATTAAATGATATTGTGGTTTTATTAACAGTATTATACCGAAAGTAATAATTTTATACAAGTTAATTAATATTACTTTTAAGAAACTGAAAATTTAGTATACTGATTGAACAAACCTTGGATACCTATTCCGTGCATAATCTCATGACTTATAATCCAACCAAGTGCTCCAAATTTCGAAGCTAAACTACCATTTTCATAATAAAGTGGAGGTTGCAACACTCCATCATTCACATAAACACGGTTTGCATTCATATTGTAGTAAGCGCGAGTTGTAAATATCGGTAATTCTAAAGGAGATCTATTCACATAAAAATAATAATCTTGATTAATTATGTCGTCATTTCTCACTGAACATTTGATAGATTTTTCAACTTAGAGGACAACTATTTAATTATGAATAATGTATGATAAAAACTGTGACAGTTTTATTGCAGAGTTTTTGAATGTATTGATAGTCAACTACAAAATGTAGTTTTTACCTGAGATTAGATTTTCTACTCAATGAACCATTTGATATTATTGAGCAATATTTATCAATACTCTTATAAAATAGTTATTTATATGAAAAGTATCTAGTTTACATTCAGTTTCCATGTGCCTTCAAAAGTAAATATGGTTCTATTGCTTTAGAATGACTTATTTTCGCTGTTTAACACTACCTGTGTTTCTATTGAATGACATGAACGGATGCTGAGAAAAAAATAATCAAAGTTCTAGGTACCAAGTTACATGTTCATCTTCATAGGTAACAACAACAATAACTACTACAATTGCTGTTACTAACACTAATAATAATACAACTATTAACAACAATAATCACTCTATTTTCATAACTTAAGTGAAATATTTCTGAAAGAAAATTATATTTGTAATAAACTCCGAGACTGGAGTTACAATAAATCCAACGTTTTACTCCATGGTCTGGTCTGAACTTCGCAGCAGTCGTGTGGTAGATAAATCTTAATCGATTTCAGTGATCTATCGTGAACCTTCATTATTTTTTAATGGGATTCCATTCCGTCTCCTACAAATAGTAAAAGCTTTAGGGATCCGAACGTATAGTACTATTATAAGCGTTCAGAAGCATTTACTGACACCACTGTCACATCATTGACCTGTTATCACTAAACATACGATCTAATTGATTTTTTTGCATCCTGTATCCGTTTATCTTTTTTCACCTCCTTCCGTCTATTTTCTTCACTATGTATATAATTACACACTCTCTACTACACAATTTTAATTATGTTTGTTGATTGCAATTTTAAAGTCCATTTATCTAAGCTTGACCTATTTTCATTGTCTAACTAGTGACTAGAACTTTTGTCATTTCTTTTTTTATCACTACTAGTACACCTTTATTCTTCTTATTGATCTGTACTTTCTAATGTGTAATTGTACAATCTATTTCATTATGACTATTGACTCATAAATTGTTTTGATTAGTTTAATGTTTTTATTAACTCATACATCCATGTATATTAAATTGAATTTTGATGAAGATCCAAATGAAAACAATATTGTTCGGCTATATGTATCACGTTGGGCGGCCTGCTTGAATATCTGGGCTACCTGTTTCTGTCATCTGATTATTTCAACAAGTTATCTGTTTTTCATTTGTTTTAATTTATAATTATGTCCATTAACCGCATAACCTATTCAGGCGCTTTTATGAAAAGCCTACAACCTTTCGCTGCACAAGTTACGAAAAAGTACTATAAAAGGCATCGTGGTGGTTGGCAATATGCGTTAAAGAGAATGAACATCAATCGTATGTCGATTCCCGAGCTACTAAATTCTAACTGCCGATCACTATTCAACAAAGTGGACTATCTGCAATTCCTGCTTAGTCAAAATACGTATCGTAATTGTGGTGTCATCACAATTCAAGAATCTTGGTTGAATGATTTACAGGATGACTGCCTTGTATCACTACATGATTTCAAAATTTATCGTCAGGATGGATCGAACAATAAAAAAAGGTGTGGTGGCGGTGTAGCTACGTTTGTAAACATAAACTGGTGTCGATCTTCGTTTGTGTGTTTTAAGTTTTCAAATGACTTTATCGACTGTCTAACTCTAAGATGTCGTCCATAACACCTGAATAAATACAAATATGTTTATGTTACCAATATCTACGTGACTCCAGACTGCACATCATCTGCGCTATCTGTTTTCGCTGATGAATTCACTGAGTTCTCTGTTACTGCCTTCAGTGATTCACTTTCACTTGTATGTGGTGATTTCAATTCATATGACTGTAGCTTCCTTACGTCACTAGGTCACCAAAACGTAGTAGATTTTCCTACTCGTTTGGATGCTCATTTAGACTTCGTTTTCATCAATGATGTGGGTATATATGCAACTCGTAAACGTGCTCCATTGTCTAGCTCAGATCACTGTTTAATTCGTGTTCTACCTAAAGTATATGGAAAGCATGGGAAGAGTACACTCTTACATCAAACCAAGAAAGTCAAATATAGGAATTACTCAGAAGAAAATATCCGAAATCTAAAAAACATGTTTCATACGACTAACTGGGAATTATTTACAGATGACTCACTCGAAAACACTACTGATGTTATCACTTGTTACCATAAATTCTGTTTTGATATTTGTTGTCCCACTGAAACCATTTTTGTAAGTTTTGATCGACTTACATCTTCACAACTAAAACGACTACGGAGGTTGAAAGAAAGAATGTACAAGGAGAAGAACTCAGATGAAGTTCGTAAGCTAAATGGTCTGATAAACCTAGAGATTAGACGTCTCAACTCCATGTTTACTCAAAAACTCTTATCTTGCAAAAACTCTACAAGTATGTGGAAATTCTTTAAAGAACTTACAGGTGACAGAAAGTTTAGAAGCAATAACCAGCTGAATGTTTGTGACTTAAATAAGTATTTTGTACGTCAGTCATCTGATGTGATGCTCCCTCTATCCACGGGTTTAAAAAATAGCTGTGTTCCTAGTTTCACTGAAACTGATGTCCGAAGATGTCTCCAGTCACTCAATTCATCCCGATGTTTACGACCTGATGGTATCCCAAACCTCCTTTTTAAAAATGTGCTGACGTCCTATGTTATCCATTCACGACTTTCTTGAACAGATCCTTCTCATGTAATCTCATACCAAAAATGTGGAGAAAGATGAAGATAATTCCTGTACCCAAGAAAGTATTTGGTGATAAGAATGTGAAATTTAGACCTATTGCAATAACTTCACCCTTCCTCAAAACCATATAAAAATTATTGACACTTCCACTTCAGCCTGCGATAAACGAGCATATTGATCCGTATCAGTTTGCTTACAGATGCAAAAGAAGCACCTTAGATGCTGTTGATGTTCTGCATCATAATATAGTGTTCAACTAAGAAAAGGGTAAGAAGTACGTTCGATGCGCTCTTCTGGACTATACTTCAGCTTTTAATTCTATACCAAGACAACGTTTAATTAACAAGTTAATCAGCGTCAACACTGACAGCTGGGTAACCAACTGGCTATGTTCCTACCTCTCTGGAAGGGAACAGTACACTGTATTTGGAGGAAAGTGTTCAGAGTCTCTACTATCTCATGAAGGTGTACCACAAGGAGCTGTTCTTTCACCTCTTCTTTTCTCTTTTTTCTGCATGATCTGCCATCTTCCACAGAAAACACATATGTGAAATATGCGGATGATCTCACTGTATGTATGCCTATCTCTTCCTCTTTACATCCCACAGAAATGAATGGATTTTTGTCTCGTATTGATTGTTGGCCTGTTGGTATTGGTCTTACGCTTAATCCGTCTAAATGTCAAGCTGTTAATTTTAGCATGAGACATGAACGGCATCTAAACACCATTTTGAGATCCCATAATCCTTGTGCCATTGGATACTCTTTCATAAACACAGTGTCGAAGGTCAATTATCTTGGTGTTACCTTTTCCTCTGATCTGTCTTGGTCTTCCCACGTTTTATCGTTATCAAAGAAGGTTTTCCGTCTGACCTACTACATAAAGAGATTGCATGCTCTTGGAATTACTCGTCATTTTCTCTTACAATTTGTCAATTCTTGCATATTACCTATTATTCTTTACTGTTCTTCATTATTCTTTCCCGGGCTTTTGAGAAAAGACTTTGCTGTATTGCGAAGAGTGCTAAAGGCAGTTAGTAAGACGTGTGGTGAATCTTTCGAGGTCATAATTAATATGGTTGTGGATAGACATTTAAAATCATGCAAACTCCTGGCAGGTGTTATTTTATTTACTAGCCATCCCCTTCACTCTTATCTTTCTCCTTGTATATCTTCTGGTAGAACGAGAAGTAATTACATTAAAATCCTTGCACGCAAGGAAAAGTATAAAAGTTCTATAATACCTTACCTAGCAAATATACTCTGTGACGAACAGGTTGTTAGAATTAACCTAGTCAATAACTTACATTCTTAACATGTCTTTAATTTTAAAAGTTTGTAGTTTCTTTTGGGTTTTTTTTTAATTTTATTTTTATTTTATATATTTCTTTATGTATTCGCTACTGCCTTTTGTTCGTTGTTCAGTAAGTAACTTGTTGAAATACCCTGTGCTGAGAATTCTATATTGTACCAAAATATAATATTGAATAAAGCCATTAATAATAATAATAATAATAATAATAATAATAATAATAATAATTATTATTATTATTATTATTATTATTATTATTATTATTATTGTGCTCAACATAGATTATATATTTTCATTTTAGCCGGTTGACATTAAGCCCACGGCAATTAAGATTCCCCACCACCCATTTCTCAAAAATTGTATGATGTGAAAGAAAAATTTATTGATCGGTGATTGGTGTACTTGTTTTGCGAGTGTGTACTTAAGTGATAATGAACAAACATTTTGTCACTTTTAATAATATTGTGATTGGTCGTAAACTGTTCATCTTTGTAATCTGATTAGTTGAAATCGAAATCGCATCAAGTGCTGTGATTGGATGTCAGAATTTTGATTTTTACATTTGAAATTTAACGATAGTGAATAAATCTTTTGGTGTAATCTTAGTCTTGTAAGAAATTTAGACATTTTAAGAAAAAAACACCAACTTAAGTGCAATCCTACTGTTAGTGAATGTGTATTAGGATAAATTTTCGATTTCCGATCAACTATACCTTGAATTGAAGTCGTTAGTTATCTTGACACTAATACTGATATGTATCACATTAAAAGAAAGTTGAGTGAAAAAGGAACTGAAAATCGGTTTGAGTATTTGATAATAGTGATT